AATGTGTTACAGTACAGTTTTTCATAGTATTCTGTTAGGATCCTTTTTATTTCAGTTGGGTCTGTTATATGTCCCCCATTTCATTTCTTCTTTGAGTTATTTTCTTCCTCTCCTGTTTTTATTTTGTCAGTTTGGCCAATAGTTTGTTGATTTTGTTGGTCTTTTCAAAGAATCGATTTTTGGTCTTGTTGATTCTTTCAGTTGTTTTTCTATTGTCTATTTCATTTATTTCTGCTCTAATCTTTATTATTTACTTTCTTCTGGTGCCTGCAGCTTCTTTTGCTATTTTCTTTCTGTTTGTCCAAGTTGTAGGGCCAACGTTTTAATTTTGGCCCATTCTTCTTTCTTGATGTGTGCATTTATTGCTGTACATTTATGTCTGAGCATTGCCTTTGCTATGTCCCAGAGGTTTTGGTGTGATATGTTTTCATTCTCATTTGAGTCTAGGAATTTTTTTATTCCCTCTTTGATTTATTACCCACTTGCTTTTAAGCAAGGTTTTTATTCAGTTTCCACGTATTTGATTGTTTTATCTTTGTCCTTCTTGTTATTGATTTCTACTTTTATGGCATTGTGATCAGAGAGAATGCTTTGTATTGTTTTGATGTTTTGGATTTTATTGAGGATTGCTTTATGGCCTAAAATGTGACCTTCTCTGAAGAATGTTCCCTGTGGATTGGAAAAGAATGTATAATTTGCTGCTGTTGGGTGGAGTGTTCTGTATATGTCTATGAGGTCAAGTTGATTAATTTTAACCCCTAGATCTTCTGTATTTTTGTTGCATTTCTTTCTAGATGTTCTGTCCTTTACCAAGGGTGGTGTGTTGAAGTTTCCTATTATTATTGTGGAGCTGTCTGTTTCTCTTTTCAGTGCTGTTAAGAGTTTGTTTTATGTATTTTGGAGCCCTATCATTGGATGCATAGATATTTATTGAGGTTGTGTGTTCTTGGTGGATTGTCCCTTTAATCATTATATAATATCCTTCCTTGTCTTTTATTGTTGATTTTGCCTTAAAGTCTATTTTATCTGAGGTTAGTATTGCCACTCCTGCCCTTTTTTGTTTACCATTTGCTTGACATGTTTTTTTCCCATCCTTTGGTTTTTGATATATTTATCTCTTTGTGTCTAAGGTGTGTCTCTTGTAGACAGCATATTGATGGGTCGTGTTTTTTTATATCCATTCGGCCACTCTCTGTCTCTTTATGAGTGCATTTAAACTATTTACATTCAGTGTGATTATCGATAGTATGAGTTTATTGCTGTCATACTGTTGTTCTTTTTTTTGTGGTGTGACGTTTTCTTTGTTCCTCTTACTCTCCTGTGCTGAGTTCCTTTTATTTGTAGATTTTCTTTTCTTTCATTATTGTAGATTTTTTGTTTAATGAATCTTTATGTTTTTCTTTTTTATTTCTTTGTGGTTACCTTAAAATTTACCCTTACCTTCCTGAGTTTGAACCAATCTTCTGTTGATATCGCCTTGACTTCCTCTCAGTTTGAAAGTTCTGTATCTACACTGTTCATTCCCTCTTTTTATTGTTTTGACATGGTCGTTATTTACAGACTGACATCTCTGTTTCCCTGTTTTAAGTCTTTTAGCTTTATTTTATTATTGAGAACTCTTTACTTAGGTTGGTTTCTGGCTGATGCTGTCCTGTGTCCTAGACTCTGTTGTTGTCTGATGTTGTTGGTTCTCTAACCAAAGGACTCCCTTTAATATTTCTTGTAAGTTTGGTTTGGTTTTTATGAATTCCTGTAATTTCTGTTTATCTGGAAATGTCCTAATTTTGCCATCATATTTGAGAGAGAGTTTTACAGGATGTATTATTCTCGGTTGGCAATTGTTTTCTTTCAAGGTTTTATATACATCATCCCATGGCCGCCTTTCCTGCATGGTTTCTGCCAACTAGAAACCAGAGACTAATCAGAACTTAGTCTTATTGTTTCCTTTTATGACTTTTCATTTTTCTTGAGCTACTGTTAGGATTCTTTCTTTATCTTTGGTTTTGGCAAGTGTGATTATGATATGTCTTTATGACTTTCTTTTAGGATCTATCCTATATGGAGTTCGTTGAACTTCTTGAATGGTCAGCTTTTCATCTTTTGTGATATTTAGGAAGTTTTCTGCCAGCAAATCTTCCACAATCTTCTCTGTTTTTTTTATCTTTCCCCCTGTTCTAGAACTCCAATCAAGCACTAATTTTTGCTCCTGATTGTGTCCCAGAAAACTCTTAAGTTTTTGTTTTTGTTTTTGTTTTTTTTTTTCTTTTGTTTTTCTGCATTATTTTCTCTGATTTTTTCACAAAGTGGCTGCCTTGGCTTTGTCTTCAGTCTCACTGATTCGGTCTTCCATTGTTTCAGATTTGCTCCTAAACCTTCTATTGTGTTGTACATTTCTGAAATTTTGTGGTTTATCTTTTGGATTTCTTTTTGCTGTTTTTGTGTGACTTCCAATTGTTTATTTATTTTTGATGTTTTGTTTTTGTATTATTTTCCAGAATTCTATCATTTTCTTTGTGTTTTCCTTGATTTTGGCTATGTTTTCTTTGGTTTTGTCTGTGTTTCCATGATTTTGTTTATTTTTCCCTTGGTATTCTGTGTTTTTCTTGATTTCTTTCCTAATCTCTTGGAAAGCCCTAAATATTAGTCTTTTGAATTCCTAATCAGGTAGTTCCACTGTGTTTTCTCTACCAGAAAGTCATCTGATTCTTTATTTTGGTCACTTGCTGGAGCAATCTTGTCCTGCTTTTTTATGTTTTGATACTGTCTGCTGTCTCCAAGACATTAAGGTATTATTCTCTTTATTCATTCACTGTGTATTCATTTGTTTCATCCTGCTTTTTTGTTTTCTTTTTATGTGTCAGGGCAGGCAGGCTAGGCATGTTTTGCTACTTGCTTGCCTTTGGGCACGATAGCTCTCACCACCTCGTCTGGGTGGGCAGGGAGACTGCAGGAAGGGTGAGCCCACTTTGCTGTACACTGGTTGGGCAACGTAGATGAGGGCAGAGTGGGTGGGCGTTGTCTTCCTCCTGATGTTGGTCCAGCAGCGTAGGAGCATTCACAGCCCCTCACCAGATAGGTGGAGGTGTTGGATGGGGAGTGGTATGGGCTTGCTTCTCACCATTCAGCAGCTGGTCAAGTTGCAGGAGGGGGACAGTGTGGGCCTAGTGTAATGGTGTGCCTGAGTACTGCAGATGCCCTAGCGATGGTGGCATGTCAGGGGCAGGTTGGAAGGGGGGCTGGTATATGAGATAGGTAGGGGGAGAAATAAAAGAGACAGAAAGAAGAAAAAAGAAGAGTAGCCAGTGGGTGGGAGTAGGGCAAACCTGGGGGCTGGCAGCAAAGTGGGGAGGTGGCATACAAAGCTAAGTGGGAGTTAGGAATAAAGAAAATGAAAAAATAATAGTAAAGTAAATGGTGTGGTAGGGATGGGGCAGCCCCAGGGCAGCAGCGGGCTGGTGGCTCTCTAGCCACAGCAGCAGGGCAGGGTCCAGTGACAGGGGGGAGGTGCATATGGGGCTCGGTCAGAGGGAGATGGAAAAGGAAGAAAGAGAAAAGAAAAAAAATTTAATTAAAACAACTGGCAGCATGGTGGGGGCTGGCAAGTGGACACGGGGCAGACCCGAGGGCCAGTTGGAAGGGAGGGGATGTGATGTACAGGGCTAGGTGGGAGAGAGAAAGAAAAGAAATAAACAAATTTAAAAAAATAGTGCAGTGGGAGCCGGTGGGTGGGGGCGAGGCAGAACCAAGGAAGTCATGAGCTGGTGGCTCTCTAGCTGAGTGGTGCAGCGTGGCCCACCAGGAGGGGGTGGTGGTGGTGTACAGGGCTAAGTGGGAAGGAGAAAGAAAAGGAAGAAAGGGAAGGAGAAAAAAGTGGCACAGTGGGAGCCAGCTAGTAGGACAGGGTGAACGCGGGGTGACCCTGAGCCAGTGTGTCTCTAGCCGAGCAGCCCGGCATGGCACATCAGGAAGGGGTGGAGGTGGGGTATGGGGCAGAAGGGTGAAGGTTGGGAAAGCGTGTTTCTCTGGTTACTGGGTGCTGTGTCTCCTGCTGGGAGCTCTGTGAAGTTGCCTTCCTGTACTCCCTGTCCAGGGCCATTACTGGCTGTGTTCCAAGATGGCAATGCTGTGCCACACTAGCTAGCAGGGGACCCTCACTCCATAGCTCTCCTTGTTCTGTGTTCTCCATCAGTTTCTTCTTCCATTTGGTGCTTGATCTAGTTCTTTATCCCTTCACTTGATGCTTTAGGTTCCAGGATTGATGTTTGTATCCTTTTACTAAGTCTTTTGGGTCTTTGATGCAGAAGGATAGCATGAGGCATCTCTCTATAGCACCGTGTTGGTTCTGCCTTTAAATGCTTTTTTTTTTAATGAATTTTTTTCCAGTGGTACCTTATGCATTATTAAAGCTTTTTAAAGTGTAATTTTTCCTTTTTTGTTAAAGAATGTGCACAATTGAAAAGCCTTAATCTCATGGTTATTTTTAAAAATCACTGCTCAGGCTGAAATCATTGTTAAGCTCACAAATAAACCATATTATTCTTTTATCAGCAGAAATATTGATTGGGAACTTACAGTGTGCTAAGCACTACAATTACAAATGACGTCCCAAACCATTGCTGACATGGCAGGATGTTTCGAGGCCAGCTAGCAGAATTCTAGCATAAAAATGAAGGACAGGTGCTGGCTCACTAAAAGTGCTTGGTACATGTGGGTTGGAAAACTGATCATTCCGGCTGAACTGCGTCATCACTGTGGTCTGGCCCAAGCCGTCTTTACTAACCAGAGCACCAGAGCTTCTGCTTAAGTCTGGGAGTAATAGGACAGAAAAGCCCTTTCTCAGCTCATGGCACTAATCTACTATTCTTTGCCCCAGAATGAATTCATGGAAATATTGCTGACAGTCTGAGAAATTCTGAGTAATAAGATGTCAGGAGAAGCAGCCACAATATAGAGAAGGAAGAGGACATTACTGAATCATGATGTCATTTTTCTTTCCTTAGGAAAGTGAGGGACGCCACTGGAGTTGACATCAACATGCGTGTGGGCGTGCACTCTGGGAACGTGCTCTGTGGTGTGATTGGGTTGCAGAAGTGGCAGTATGATGTGTGGTCACACGACGTCACACTGGCCAACCACATGGAGGCTGGAGGAGTCCCCGGGTAAGGCAGAGCATTGGATTTCCCTCTCCAGGGTGGCATCAGATTAGGAGTGGTGGGTCCACAGGCTAATGACTGACTGCTCAATGATCAGTGGATTCTCATCATCCCTGCTAGTGCCACATTACTCACTAACGTTACTCAGTGAAATATGGACTCCACCACCCCTGTGGCCATTGGCCAAAGACTGTGGAAGTAAGATTCCAATTATACACTCTTCCTTATTTGCAAACTTACGGCTAGAGAACTGACTTAAAGATGTTGTATGATGCCGTCCAGAAATGCAGGTCTCTGTGACTGGTGACCTCCAAAGCCAATACCGTTAAAATGAGCAAATGTAGTTTCTGTTTCTGGTTAAAAGAGTGTATCTTCCAGACAAGAGAATATTGGTGCAAATGCTATCATTTGGAGGAACTCAAGAGTAAGTGTTGAGAATGAAAACACATACTTTTACACCAGTCAGCAACCTGTCTAAAATGCCTTTGCCATGAGTTTCAGAAGATAGTCTCGCACACAAAATTTCAACGTCATCCAGTGTGATTTGCTCTAGCTTACTACACCCTCCATGTAGATGCCTGTGAGTGTGGAGAAGCTCCAAGTATTAGTAGCTGCTGACCTCTAGGGGCATCCTTCCGAAGTAATAGTTAATAGAGTATAAACTTTAATTGAAGTCACTCTTCCCATGAACTTAAAGCCATTCCTTCATTTGGGAGAGAAGAAATCATTTCTGAAGTCACAGAGGAATAGAATATCTCCCTTCATGTTTACCTCTATATGTCTTGATTTGGGTTTTAAAATGGATTTTCAGGCGTGTTCACATTTCTTCGGTGACCTTGGAGCACTTGAATGGAGCTTACAAGGTGGAAGAGGGAGACGGTGATATCAGGGACCCGTATTTAAAACAGCACCTGGTGAAAACCTACTTTGTCATCAACCCCAAGGTCAGTATTGTTGTAGAGAGTCTATGGTTAGTTTAGTACTCCTGGGGTTGAGGTGGGGAGTCCCTGGGTGGTGCAAATAGTGTGCTTGGCTGCTAACCAAGAGGTTGGCAGTTCAAGTCCAGCCAGAGGTGTATTGGAAGAAAGGCCTGGAGACCAACTTCTGAAAAATCAGCTATTGAGAACGCCATGGAGCACCGTGCTACTCTGACACACACGGGGCTGCCATGAGTCAGAATCATCTCAACGGCAACCGGTTTCTGGGAGAGGAGGGGCAGATGACTTACATGGCTAACTGTTTTTAATAAAATATCAGTGTAATTCTTTGCTAGTTTTTGCCTCTAAAATAACACTAAATGCATGTGGTGGTTCCATTCTGGGGAGAAAAAAGCCTTTGCAGACATGAATTTAAATATTCATTAAAGAAACAGTTGGACTGAACCATTTGTCTGTATGACAAGGTGTTGACCAACGTGCTTTCTTGGTGTTGGGTCGTTGTGTGTTTATATCAATGTCTTATAACGGGCCCAGCCTTGAGTACTTGGCAGGCGGGAAGCTAAATAAAGAGAAAAGTCAATTTTGACGAGGCCCTCAGGAGATAAACACCTAATGAGATGACACAGGGTGAACATTTAAGAAAAAGGTCACAGAAGAAAATTGTAAATGATAAATAACTCATATATATTTGTGTGTGTAGATGTATTTAACTTCTATACAATAAGCACCTCCGTTGCCTGGCAGACACCAACCAAGTCTCTCACTGTGTCCGCACCAAGAACCAGACCAGAGCAAGCGGGTAGAGCCCTCCTCTCTGTTAACCCTTCCCAAATGCCTGCCAAGTGGGCATCGTCCCTATTCACAGATTAAGAATCTGAAGCTCAGAGAGGTTATATCAATTTCCCAAGATCACACAGCTCATAAGTACTGCAAATGCAGCAAGAAAGTCCCTTGAGCAGTCAAAACCCAAATCACAAAATCAGCAAGATCAAGTTCATGGGCTTGTCCTGAGGTAGTTCCCCGGGGACCCCACCCAGGGGAAGTGAAACTTCCAACTAACTTAACAATTAACCTGGAGGTACGTGCGTCACAGCAGGAAGAACAGCAAGGGAAGAAGCATAGAAAATGAGTACAAAGGACATTTGTGTCCAGGCAGAGAACTGCAGAGTGTGGGTATGTGACACCGTTAGAGAAGCAGCCCCCAGCCTCTAAAACACTCACTTAGAAAAACACAGCTATCAAGAAAAAGTAAAACAGATCAGCATATTCTGTTTTAGACTTTAATTTATGAAAATGCCCATTAAAATGGCTGTTGTCTTTCCTAAGTTTTAATTACAGAGGACGTTTTTCTCTCTGGAAGAATTACCCATGCAAAGAGCTTGGCCCCAACAGTTCTGAAGAAATGAGGGCAGAAGCCGTAATGGACAAATGGAGCGATGTTAGAGGAATCAGCTTAGCCGAGTGGAACTTCTCGAAGGGCTGGGTGTGAGCACATGTCTACTAGCAGGAAGGGCTCCAGGTGCACCTGTGGCCCACCTGGTGTCATAGTTTGTTTCTTGCCCCCAGGGAGAACGACGGAGCCCCCAGCACCTCTTCCGACCTCGCCACACCCTGGATGGAGCCAAGATGAGGGCGTCTGTGCGCATGACGCGGTACTTGGAGTCCTGGGGAGCAGCCAAGCCCTTCGCACACCTGCACCACCGGGACAGCATGACCACCGAGAATGGCAAGATTAGCACCACGGTAGGTACCTCCATGGCACCTGACAGCCCTGGCACCAGAGGAGAGCTGGTCCTCAAAGCAAAAGGCTGTGGACCCCATGCCAAAGGACCAGCTCACCATCTCCTTCTTGGAGAGGCTGTTAAAAATAGCTAAAACACAAAGAAATTGAAACAGAAGGTTTATTCCGAGCTCGTTCTCTATGCATGCAGGGAGACTGTATTGTCTCTAAAAATAACTGGCTCAAAGTAGGCCAGTTACAATTGAAAAATAAAACAACAAAACTTTAGCTCAAAACACTAGTGTAATATTTTATTGTTTCATGATTTAATAAGCAGTTTGGAAACTGGGGGAGCACAAGTCTCCCTGCGTGAAGGAAAGTGCTCCCAAGAACTGGAGATTGCACGGAAGCTTAAATAATTTTTTGCTTAATGAATAGAAGTGTCCATGGATACAAAGTACCTCATGGCTTCTGATTTAGCATTTAAAAAACAACCCTTGAAAATCTGACCCTTTACCCACTTGTAGCTATGCGACCTCTTTAAATTAAAATTAAGGAAACACACGGTCTTTTTCATTAAACCATGAATAATGAATGGGTTTGTTATTGGCTACCTTTTTCTAGCTGGGAAAGACAAATTTGCAATGCTGCAGAACAATTCTTGGTAAAAAAAAAAACAAGTCAACACTTTTGCAGTTTGGGTTCATGGGTAAGAGAATCCCCTTGAAATTGAAGTTAGATAACTATTTCTTTTTAACACAGCTATTGGTATATTAGTGGGCATCAAGCCTGCACCCCTGAGGGTTTCAACCTGGAGTGATTTTGCATTATAACTTAATAAACCAACACAGCATTATATACAACTGAAAGTAGCTACTGAATACAATTGAAAATTTTGTATCCTTTTTTTTTTTTTTTTTTTTTTTTTGGTGCCGTGAAGGAGAAGGCCTTGAAAATCTTCATAAAAAGACAAATAAAAGCATGGTACCTTTGGAGTTTGAATGGCATCATCAGGACTGGATCTTTGTGATGCAAATGTTCCAGCAATATGCATTCTTCTACTGTGGTTCCTTACTTAGATGACTCCTACTTCCAACATGACATAAAACATATAAGCGCCTTACAGCAGGGACATGTGCAGTCAGATCACTGAGATGGAGGCAGAGGATAGAAAGACACACACGTTGTTGTTGTTAGTTGCCGGAGTTGGCGCCAACAGAACCAAATATTGCTTGGTCCTGTGTCATCTTCACAGTCACTGGTAAGTCTGAACCCAGAGACACACAGGAGAGAAAAGCCATTTCAGCGAAGCACTCAGAACAATCCCAATCGTGTTGTTAGATTTTAAGACGATCTCCGAGGATAATTTCATGTCTACTGGAATTAACCATATTGGGCATGCAGTTGAGGTACAAAAGAAAATGTAAAGTGACCTAGTTCTCATTGGCGGATGAAAAGAGACATCCTAGGCCATCAGAGAACTGAATTTATTCCGTTAGTAAATTACACGAGCTTTGACCAGATGTAGCGAACAGTGGCTACAAGTTGTTATTGTTGGGTGCCATCAAGTTGATTCCGACTCATGGCAACCCTGAGACAGAGTAGAACTGACCCATGGAGTTTTCTAGGCTATAATCTGTATGGGAGCAGATCGCCAGGTCTTTCTCCCATGGAGCCACTGGTGGGTTCAAACTCCCAACCTTTCAGTTAGCAGCCGAGTGCTTAACTGTTGCCCCACCAACGGTCCAGTGAGTTCATCATTTCCTGAGTCCTCCAGCACCCTCAGAAAAGCCAAGATCTCAGCATTAAAGCATCACCCAGGGAAGCCTCTCTTCAGGACCCTCCACCTCCACACTCGGGCAGGACTTTGGGTCAGCTCAAGAACCTGTGAAACCACTCACCTGAGGCTTTAACTATACGCTGTTAACCTTTCCCAGCCCTCGGTCTTGTGCAGAGCAGAGGTTCTTCCGTGTATCGCATTGGAGTCCCCTGGAGAGAATGTTAATGAACAGATCTCTGGTCCCCATCTGCAGCGTTTCTGATTCAACAGCTCTGGGGTGGGGCTGGAGAATAGGTATGTCTAACAATTCCCAGGTGATCCAGATGCTGCTGGCCCAGCGACTACACTTTGCAAACCACAGCTGTGGTGAACCTCACTGCCACAGCCCACATGCCACCTGTCACCCCAACAGCCACCTGTCTTCTGGTTGCAGGACAGGTATCATTCCTTGAAGCCTCTTTGAGCTTCTCAAAATGTCACTAAAACACGTGGTATCTAGCAATTCCACTCCTAGGTATATACCCAAAATAATTGAAAGCAGGAGTGTAAACATATACTTATACCCCAGTGTTCACTGAAACTTTACTCACAATAGCAAAGAAGTGGAAGCAACCCAGTTGCCCATTAACGGATGAATGGACAAAGAAAATGGGATCTGTGCACACAATGGGGTATTATTCAGCCGTAAAGAGAAATGAAGTTCCAAAATCTGCTGTGGCTTGCTTGAACCTTGAAAACTTTATGCTGAGTGAAATAAGTCAGACACAAAAGAACAAGTATAGCCTGATCTCACCGATGTGAAATACCTAGGATAGGTGAATACATAGAGACAAAAGTCCATCAGTGGTCAGCAGGCTCTGGGGAAAGGAGAACGGGGAGGTGTTGCTGAAGGGACGCTGAGTTTCTGTTTGGGGGGATGAAAAAGTTTTGGATAGAAAGAGTGGCGATGGTTGCACAACATGACGAATGTAATTAACGTCACTGGATTGTGTACTTAGTTATACAATTAATGATTAAAATGGCGAATTCTATGATATATTAAAAAAAGACAAACTTGCCGTTGAGTGGATTCCAACTCATAATAACCCTATAGGACAGAGTAGAACGACCCCATAGGGTTCCCAAGGAGCGGCTGGTGGATTCAAACTGTTGACCTTTTGGTCAGCAGCCAAGCTTTTAACCACTGCACCGCCAGGGTTTCCTTTCTAATATGTAGATAATACATACAACCACAATAAAACCAACAGACAGCAAAGCCAAGTCCACGGTTCTGGTTCTGGCAGGGCTGAACTGAGATACTCTTTCTGGCAGTGATTGGAAGGTAGGGCCATTCATTGCCCTCTTGGGCGTATGTCATCAGACAGGGGGACTGGGCTCCCACTGACTTACGCAGAAAGACGTGTTCCAGGACACCTGAAGGTCATGCCTGGTTGTGTTTATCAAGTTGCTTCTTTGTTGTGGAGCCATGACCAGGGAGGAAGTGATGCTTTGGAAAGGAAAAGCTTTAGTGACACTTACTGGTGCATTTAGCACTGCCCAGGAGTGGAGGGAGCTCTGAGGCCACCAGGGTGCCTCCCAGCCCCTCTTGTGGGTCACAGGCCAATCTAGCCTTGGATGCACCCAGGAAAAGGCCATGCCACCACCCGTTCCTCAGTGGAGGCTTGTCTGTTGCTGTGATGCTGAACAGGTTTCAGTGGAGCTTCCAGAGTAAGACAGACTAAGAAGAAAGGCCTGGTGATCTGCTTCCAAAAATCAGCCAATGAAAATGCTATGGACCACAATGGTCCAATCCACAACCAATCACGGGGATGACGCAGGACGGGCAGCATTTCGTTCCGTCGCGCGTGGGTCACCGTGAGTCAGGGGCCAGCCTGAAGGCAGCCGACAATAACAAAAACAAGAACACACAGCCCGCGGAACAGAACTCAAATTTTTAAGAAGTCTAGACTTACTGGACCAGTTGACAGTAGAGGACTCCCTGAGACTAGTGCCCTGAGATACTCGTTAAACCTCGAACGGAAACTGTCCCCTGAGGTCACCTTTTAATGAAATAAGAGATTGGCACAAAGGATATTACCCATGAGTATGGTGCTCCAGTAAAAACCGTCCGTGTGAGACCAAAAGATCAACAATCACTGTAAAGCCGAGGTGAGAAGGTAAAGGACAGACAGAACAACCAGAACGCCATTGAGGAGAGTGCTGCCATCCTGTGAACAGTGTAACCAATGTGACTGAGCAATGTATGTAGAAGCTGTCAAATGGGAACCTAATTTTCTTTGTAAACTTTCACCAAAAACACAAGAAAATATTATAAATATGCTGATGACATATGTCAATATATAAATGTAAAAAAAAAAATACAGCACACAGCAAAGCCCAGAGGGACCCTGTGCCCCACACCTCCCAACATCCTACAGCTGCACCTCCAAGCCCAACTGGCAGGGGCCCAGCATTCTCGTTTTGACTTATATTTCTCTTCTCAATCTCCTCTGCTCCTTTGTTAACTAAAAAAAGAAACGTAATCTGACAAAAAACCATGATCCTTCAGAAAGTCGACAAGCGAAACAGCCAGAACAAATCCTAGAGGCGTCTGCGTTACAATGTGAGACAGACCATTAGTAGGGAAACAAAAAGATCATTAGGGGGCGCTGCCGAGGGCTATGATGAAGAAAAAATGGAGTAATGGTATCGAGAGTGTGGGGTGGCCACTCTGGCTGGAGGGCTGAGGACGTCTCTGAGCAGGAGACCAGCTAGTTGGGAGAGGAGGCGGCCACGTGAAGGCCTGGGAGAAGAACGCAGTCGGTGTCCCTGAGATGGAGATGGACTTGCATCTCCCAGGGGCAGAGCCAAGGCCAGTGCGGCCAGCGTGTCGTGAACAATGAGCAGAGTGGCACAAGATCCACTAAAGAGCTGAGGTGAAGGGTCCCTGTTTCATTTTACGTGTCCTGGAAAGCCATTGGAGGATCTTAAGCAAGAGAGGCACGTGGTACGCTTTATGCTTTTGAATAACGGGCAAGAGCAGAGGTGGTAGACAAATCGGGAGGCGATCTCCAAGTGAGAACCATGCCATCTTGTGCTCAGATTTTAGCAGGGGGAACAGTGAGGAGAAAATTCAGCATCTAATCTGCAAGTAGAGCAAATTGACTTGGTGGTGGAGAGGACGTGTGTGAAAGCGGACTCCGTACTCTTGGCTGCACCTCTGAGCGAAAGGCGGTGCCATTAACTGAGATGACAAATGCTGAAGGTGGAGAACTCAAGTATTTGCTAAAGGAAATGTGAAAGTCGATAAGCCTTTGAGATGCCTGAGTGCAGCTAGCAAGTAGACAGCTGGGTAAACAAGCTCAGGGGAGAGGCCCAAGCTGCAGACGGGGATGTGAGAGACGTCTGATGGGAGAGGGCGTTGGGAGTCATGGTACCGGACAGTTACACCTGGGGGAGGGGAGACCCAAGGAGGGGCCTGGGCACTCCGGCACTTAGACGCCTGTCAGAGGACACCCTTCCAGGACTCTGATTCCAGTTGTCAGTCAAGAGAGCCAAGGTTTCTCTCACCCTTACAAAAAAAAATACTTTGGATAACTTTACCTCAACGCTGCATTTCCTGATAGTGCTGATGGCTAATAACTACGCCTGTCATGGAGATTTATAATTCTCCGGCAATTGTTGGTTGGTTGGTGAGGTGCTTGCTTGGTTTTTAAGAAATAAGAGTCATGTGTAAATGATTTCCTGAACTGTTTCATATGTACATCTGTGAAGAAAAGATCTTACTCACTTTTCCACGTGTGTTATTGTTCTTGAAGGAGCCCTGGTGGCACAGTGGTTAAAGCGCTCGGCTGCTAACTGAAGGGTCAGCAGTTGGAACCCACCAGCTGCTCCACAGGAGAAAAAATCTGGCAATCTGCTTCCCTAAAGATTTACAGCCTTGAAAACCCTATGGAGCAGTTCTACTCCGTCTTATTGGGTCACTATGAACCAGAATCGACTCGACAGCAATGGGTTTTTTGGAATCTCTTTTGGAGGAAGTCTTAGTAGTGCAGTGGTTAAGCACTTGGCTGCTAAGTGAAAGGTTGGTGGTTCGAACCCACCAGCCACTCCGAGGCAGAAAGATGTGTCAGTCTGCTTCCGTAAGATTACAGCCTTGGAAACACTATGGGGCAGTTCTACTCTGTCCTATAGGGTTGCTATGGGGTTGGAATCAACTCTATGGCAATGGTAATCTCCCTTAAAAGGAAGCCCTGGTGGCACAACAGTTAAGCACTCAGCTGTTAACAGAAAGGTTGACAGTTCAAACCCACCCAGCAGCTCCTAGGGAGAAAGATCTGGCATTGTTTTCCCATAAAGTTACAGCCTAGAAAACTCTATGGGGCAGTTCTTTGGGGTTGCTATGAGTCAGAATTTACTTGATGGCACCTAATAGCAACATTAGCAATGTCCATTATCATCTGAGCGTGGGACAATAGGTATAATTTTAGTCCGACTTCATCTGTTGTTATGTTTTGATGAAGATGTCTCACAGTATATAATTGTAGCTGTCTAGTGTTTGGACTTCAGGTCCTCTAACTATAAAAATAGAGGACCTCTTGAATGAACTCAACTGTCTTCCCCAGCTGGTCTTACCAGCCCTGGGTGCATGCCAAGGGACAGCTTTAGAAGCAATCTAGGATGTCTTAAGAAAACCCCAAGGCTTTGGTTAGGTCATGACACCCATACCACTGTTGCTTTGCCATATCTCCTGTTCCCTTTCAGGAAGAACCATCGTTATTCTTGTGGCTACCTTCCAAGGTGAAACAGCTGCCATTGCCAGAAACGTATTTCTTTCATCTTATCCCCCATGCAGAGCTCCGCTTTTTCTTGATTCAACATTGATAGTGTTAATGGATAATGGATTATTTTACTTTTTATAATAAAGCTTGGAGTTCCATTATTAAAAAGAAAAAACCCTTAACCTGCCCTAGGCTAAATACATTTTCTCATCTAACCTTGGAGATCCATATAGCAAACAAAATTTCCTTGGAAGCCTCTTAGTTCTAACTTTTTATTTTCATTTCCACCAAAAATATATTCAAGGGAATCTTGTTTTTTCTAAGTGTATTATTGAACATTTGACCAGCGTCCCCCCGTTCCTATTTCAGGAATGATTACACTCATTTATTGATCTCTTCTTTTTCCCAGTAATTCATGATTTTGCATAACTTAGCTGATAGGTACCATTTCTCAACAGCCCAGTTCAGTGCTACAGATTGGCTATAGGTTACGTGCTTATGTTTGCAGTTTAAAACCTCTTTAATATTTTTTTTCTCCTGCCAAACCCAAACTACGTTTTGCCATGATCCTAAGTAGCTTACAAGAACTCTAATCCCAGTTCTCTGCAGGCTAGCATCTGAAATCCTATCTGTAAGTGTCAGGATGTAAATTGTAAAAATCCAGACCCCAGTCTCCATGCACTCAGCATCTGGAGTTTATAGATCCCACTGACATTTCTAATATAAACTGCATTTATAACCTTGTTTCACATTTATGATTAAGCTTTTTCTCTACGTGGGTAATTATTCATTCCCTAAAACATACAGTCCTTTGGAAGTAGATATGGTGGTGGTTGCACAGCACGGTGAAGGTAATACCACTGGATTGTACACTTCAAAGTCATGACAATGGCAAATTTTATGTTATATGTATTTTACACACTAAAAAAGATACTTTTCATGATACAAGAAGAAATGCTATACATTGTTTCCATTGCAAAAATTCTTCTTGAAATATGTTTTCGGCAACTAATAACTTTTCTTTTTTTAATAGGATGTACCGATGGGTCAGCATAATTTCCAGCATCGCACGTTAAGGTATGGTCGATCTTCTGCCACCTCCTTTTGAAAGGCCTATTTTAATTTATTTCTGAAAGTAATTATCATCAATTATAGGAATTTTGAAGGCTACTTCTAAAGAGCAGCGAATTGTGAAAGGCCTCATTAAATTGCTTGCAGTTTCTAAAAATAGGCTGCTTCGTGTTATCCAGATTAAGAGAGGGAAAAGGAAGACACCATCTGGCGAACACTTTAGAACTTTACGTTGTCTTCTTAAAACGGCTTTTCTTAATATTAATGTATAGTAAAAGAAAAATTTATTTTGCCTTTATCTCTAGAATTCAACATAAAAAAATGTCATTCTAAGCAACAGATTCATTTTAAGAAAATTCAAACAGGTGCCATGGATTTGACTCCGACTCATGGCAACCTCACGTATGTCAGAGTAGAACTGTGCTCCATAGGGTTTTCAATGGCAGATTTTTCTGAAGCAGATCAGCAGGCCTTTCTTCCGAGGAGCCTGTGGGTGGACTTGAACCTCTAACTTTATGGTTAACAGCCAACCATGTCAACTCTTTGCAGCATCCAGGGACTCCAAAGGCAAGCTAAGCCCAGCCTTTCTGTAGTGAAAAGAAGGGTTCCTGACCAAAAGCAAGAAAGCTTCCCGAAATCTCCACACTTGGCGCCGTCCACCACAAAGTCCCGCTCAGGACGCTTCTCCTTTGCAGTGTTCCTCTAGCCTTTGAGCTCAGAGTTGTACTTTAATATCAGTTTGGAAGTTAAGGTATTTCTTAATGAAGAGGGCAGGGATACCTAAGGAAAGGCCCAGAACTCACCAGCCTTCCTTCCCCACAGGGAGGTCAATTTATTGGGCGTCTCAGTAGTTTTGGAGGAAGGAAGGAAAGATACAAGCCCAACATACATTTTGTTGTAGAGAAAATAAACACGGGTAGATTACTGCTTGCCAAAATATGGCAATAACGCACGTCATTCCAGAATCAGCCTATGTCCCTGCGTTCGTTGACCTGAGTTCTAATTTGTATTTCGTTTAAAATTTGAATATTGAGATATAGCGCTTGGAATCCTTATGTTGTACAGATAATTGGATTCTTGGGCTTTCGCAGCATTATTTTTCAAGTGGCATATAACATATTAAAGAGAATTTAAGCTAATTTCAGGAACATTGGACATTGTTTTAGTTCTGAGCTGATAGAGAGTCTAGGGGCCATGCTTTCCGGGGTTCCTGCAGTCTCAGTCAGACCATTAAGTCTGGTCTTCTTACTAGAATTTGAATTCTGCGCCCCACATTTCTCCTGCTCCATCAGGGACTCTCTGTTGTGTTCCCTGTCAGGGCAGTCATTGGTGGTAGCCGGGCACCATCCAGTTCTGGTCTCAGGCTGATGAAGTCTCTGGTCTATGTGGCCCTTTCTGTCTCTTGGGCTAATACTTTCCTTGTGTCTTTGGAGTTCTTCATTCTCCTTTACTCCAGTGGTTGGGTCAAGGATCTATTTTAAAATTGCGGTGGGAGATGCCTCCTGGAGCTCCTACAACATGCCTGGGTGATGTCTTCTGGGATGAGTAGATGCTGTTGCCTTGATCACCTTAGAAAGGAAGAAACTGAGTTATGAAGGGTTATGAGAATTGCCCAGAGCCACACTGCTGGCAAGGAGCCTGGAGGCACAACAGTTAAACTCTTGGCTGCTAACCGAAATGTTGGCAGGTCACATCCACCTATCGGCTCTGCAGATAAAGGACCTGGTGATCTGCTTCCATAAAGATCGCAGCCAGGAAAACCCTATGGGGAAGTTCTACTCCATCACTATAAGTCAAAATTGACTCGATGGCACCCAACAACAACAGTGCTGGTGGCAGCGAGGCCCAGCCTTGTGCCTGTCATGGTGACGCCAAAGCCTACCTCTGTCACTGCCCTCCTGCCCTGCCTTCTTTGTTTATCCCACCTTCCTCTGAGAGCGTTGATCTTTGCTGGCCTCGTGGCGTCATGGAGAGAAGGCCGCTTTTAAGTCAGACCCACCCAGGATTCCCAGTGGCACTTCCTGGCCCTGTAACACTGGCTAGGTTATAAGCCCTCCCTGAGCCTCCAGCTTGGCCGTAAGTTGGCCTCCCAGGATACTGAAGCATTCACTGAGGCGGTGGACACCCTCTCCCATGCTCCTTAGATATAACAGCTAGGCGTGGGGGTGGCACTGTGGTTTGGGGCAGGGAACAGAAAGGGGGTCAGATGGTAGGTCCTAGAGCAGGACAAGGACAGAAAATCAGAGAGCAGAGAGTCAGAGGAACAAAGCCTGGGTGGCAAACCAAGAATTCCTGGTGAGCAGTTTAGTAGCCCCTGAGGGTGTCCTGTCATCTCCATAGCAGAGATCATAAAATTACGGGGACTGAGGAGAAAATGGCGGGTGTGTCATGAGTTGTCCAAATAACTACCAAATGCAAAGAATGCGTAATCATGGCTGGCACTGCTTGAACGTGTCATGTGTGCCAGTTACCGCATTGAGCTCTAGCCCAGCATTCTCTAAGCTCATCCTCAAAACGGACTCAGCAAGGTGAGGCCATTGTTAGCCCTGAGCAAAATAGGGAAGAATTACATTTCCTGTTGCCCCAAGGTACCTACCCTGTTCCCTCTGGAGATAGATGAATAGCTGCTGTCGAGTCCACTCCAACTCATAGCGACCTTTTGTGCAACACAACAAAGTGTTGCCCAGTCCTCTGTCACCCTCATGATCAATAGCATGTTCAAATCAATCACTCCCTCTTAGGCTTCCCAAAACTTTGCAATATGGAAAGCAATAAAATTGAAGTCAGAAAGCTTGAAGTTTAGACTTGGAGCTGAAAAAAGTAACGCAGAAGGTCTACGGTTGCACATCATGCCACTTGTGAGGATCCCAGCTTCTCAGCTGTAAAGTGAGAATGTGTGAGCCAGGCTGGATGACTTATAAGATCCCTTGCTTTTTTGTTTTTAAGAAGGAAGAAAAAAAAAAGCTATATAATTCGCCTCTTCAAAAAGTTTATAATTTAACATGCTAAACTTTTTAATTCAGTTGGCTTGATATCTGTAGGTGGATGACTTAATGTCATTCTGTTTTTCTGAACCAACACTGCTCCTGGCATGTTTGAAGAAGGCAGGGTCTGAAGGCAGCAACCCATCAAGGTGGAATGATGGAATTGGAAAGCCTATCCATCTCATTAATAATAATCCTGTGAGATATGATTGCAGATAAATGTGATATTGCATATTCAATAGGATTGTTGTCTATGGATATCTACAAGTAATTCTGAACTCAAAAATGTTAGCTTTATTCGGCCATCTAAGATGCATCAGTTGGTCCCAACCACTTAGAGTAAAGGAGAATGAAGAACACCAAAGACACAAGGAAAGCATTAGCCCAAGAGACAGAAAGGGCCACATAAACCAGACACTTCATCAGCCTGAGACCAGAAGAACTAGATGGTGCCCGGCTACCACCAATGACCACCCTGACAGGGAACAAAACAGAGAGTCCCTGATGCAGCAGGAGAAAGGTGGGGTGCAGAACTCAAATTCTAATAAAAAGACCAGACTTAATGGTCTGAATGAGACTGGAGGAACCCCGGAAAGCATGACCCCCAGATTCTCTATCAGCTCAGAACTAAAACAATTTCCGAGGCCAACTCTTCATACAAAGATGAACTGGACTGTGGGACATAAAGCAATACTGGTGAGGAGTGTGCCTCTTAGTTCAAGTAGATACAAGAGACTAAATGGGCAGCTTCTGTCTGGAAGTGAGATGTGAAGGCAGAGAGGGTTAGGAGCTGGTTGAATGGACATGGGGAATTGGGTGGAAAGGAGGAGTGTGCTATCACAGTATGGGGAGAGCAATTAGGGTCACATAACAATTTATGTATAAATTTTTGTATGGGAGACTAACTTGAAATGTAAACTTCATTTAAACTACAACAATAAACAAAAAAAAAGTTAGCTTTATTGCAGATTATAAGGTTTGCTGAATTAATAATTTAACCAGCCAGAATGCAGAGAAGTAAAGTGCTTGTCCCACAGTTGACTCAGAATCCTTGTCAACACCAGGCTGTAGTCACAGGCATGGTTAGGCAAACTGGAGGGAGGTATGTGAGCTTTTATTAGCCTTTCAATAGATACTTAACTTATAAAAATAGGTAAATTTTCAATTTTCTCCTAGACATCATTCTCATGTTAATTGTCAAATTAACCATGAGGAACTCTTCTTATTATTTTTATATAACTTTTTAATAAAGTATCTTATATTATGGCTGAGTTTATCTGCTGCTAAGTGAGTGGTCAACACAGATAAGTGGGATTTTCTGTGATATAAACACTGAAAACCCATTGTGTCGAGTTGATTCCAACTCATAGTGACCCTGTAGGACAGCGTAGAACTGCCCCGTAGGTTTCTAAGGAGCGGCTGGTGGATTCCAACTGCTGACCTTTTGTTTAGCAGCTGAGCTCTTAACCACTGTGCCACCAGGTATTAGTGCTTCTCAAAATCGGGGAACTTTTAAATGTATACAATTTAGCCTTGATATGCCTAAAATAAGACCGTTGTTAGGTGCTGTCAAGTTGATTCCAACTCATCGTGATCCCATGTGTTACAAAGTAGAACTGCCCCATAGGGTCTTGTAGGCTATAATCTTTATGGGAGCAGATCACGGGGTCTTTCTCCGGCAGAGCCACTGGGTGGGTTCCAACTGCCAACCTTTCAGTTAGCAGCGTTTAACTGTTGCGCCACCAGAGCTCTTAAATAAGACTCTAGTTCTGAAAATTCTGGAAAAGCGACCCAAGACAACATGAGCACGGAATGACTAGCTTATCAATCAAACCAGGTTTATGCAGGGAATTTCCTGTGCCAGTGGGGTCCATCCTGAAATGAAGTTCTAATGGCAGCAAGTCAAAAAGTAACGCATCTCTCAGGAGAGAAAGTTCTTGTATCACCAATACTGGGTTCTTAGATCTCATGCACTGAGCACATATCTTTCGAAGTTGCTTTTTAATGCCTGGAAGAATTTTACCCCAAGTGAACATTAAGGTACATCTTTGCTGAACCCCAAATTCTCATCAGTTTACTCAATACACAGAGTAGCTGCATGTTCATAGAGAAAAGCGTCCTCATAAACTGTCATCTTCTTTTTCTTTTTTTCTTTTTACTTTTTTAGCAGCGTTAAATAGAGCTTTTGGCATCGTAGAGAAATAGCCTTAATATTTCCTTTAGTAATAATATTCTTACCTATAATATTTTCACTTTTTGTAGAACCAAGTCACAAAAGAAAAGATTTGAAGAAGAATTGAATGAAAGGATGATTCAAGCCATTGATGGAATCAATGCTCAGAAGTGAGTACCTTTTAGTCTCAAATTAACATTCGTCTCTTACTGCAAACCTGTTTGAAAATGTCATATTTGCCAAAAATATTTCACCGCAAGCTCTGTAATGCTTACATGGTAAAATCAAGTTGCTTGAGATCATTCATTCATTTCACCACCATCGTCCTTAATAATAGCTGCTGTTAATAGTATTTCATCCTAGAAAATGTACTCTCCAACTAAGATGCTGATAAGCGAATGAGGTATAAAGAGAGATAGAAACATGGTGGATACTGTGATCGTCGAGTGGTAGTTTCAAAGCTCAGTAGGAATTCTTGAGGAGAAACTCTGTAACGTGTGCCATGTGACATCATCCATCCCCAATGCTTCTATTCCCTGCAAAGTCAGAGAGTGTGGGGATACCTGCATTCTAAACCCTGAAAGAGGGTCTTGAGCATGAGAGTCTGAGTTTTCCTGGGGCAGTGGGAAGAGGATGACTCTTGGAGGCTCAGTGCCGGTCAGGCTGTGTGGTGAGCAACTGCTGCTGTGGTTTTCAATAGTACCATTTGTTGCTGTGTGCATGTTTTCTAGGCTGTAATCTTTACAGGCGAGCCCTGGTGGCGCAGTGGTTAAGAGGTATGGCTGCTAACCAAAAGGTCGGCAGTTTGAATCCCCCAGACGCTCCTTGGAAACCCTATGGGGCAGTTCTACTTGGCCTATAGGGTCAATGTGAGTCAAAATCGACTCGTCAGCAATGGTTTTTTTCTTTTCCTTTTTTTAAATCTTTACGGGAGCAGATTGCCAGGTCTTTCTCTCACAGTGCTGCTGGGTGGGTTCAAACCACCAACCTTTGGGTTAGTAGACCAGCACTTAACCTTTGCATCACCAGGTCCCCTTATATATAGCTCAGGAGATGTCGATGCAGAAGTGGAAAGAAGGATGATCGTGCTTACTGGCCATGCACCTCTGAAGGCAGAGGGCACACGAGACACTCGGCGCACGTTTGCCGAGTTAAATTGTTGTGGAAGCCCCAGTCGGCCCAGATGAAGACCCTTAATGGACGCGTTTCCACCCTTCTGAAAACCTGACTATTGAATTTTTATCCAGAAAGCTGACTCATGGAAAAGTATAAATGCTTTCCACACAGAACACTTGGCTTCTTATAGTGACCCTGTAGGACAGAGTAGAACTTTCTCATAGGGTTTCCAAGGAGCAGCTGAGGGATTCGAACGGCTGACCTTTTGGTTAAGTTGTAGCACTTAACCACTGTGCCACCAGGGCTCCAAAATTAGGTTAAAGGGTCTCAGTTAGTACATGGCATTGCAAAATGCATGCCTGTTCTAGATTGTTCCTTGTAGGTATTTGTTTTTAGAAAATTTACAGAGATTATGGAAGAACTGCATGAGTGTATGTATATATGGAGGTGTGTGTGGAGTGTATGTGTGTGTAGAGTGTGTGTGTGAGGGTGTGCGTGGCGTGTGTATGTGAGAATGTGTGTGGTGTGTGTGTGTGTGTGTGTGTGGTGTGTGTGTACACATGTGCAAATGTGTCTACAAAATCAGTTCTCTTGGTTGGCCAGAGCTGCACTTCAGATATGCTGGCACAGTGAATTAACACCTGCCTGGAGGTCATAGTCCTGCCTTCCCACCTGTTGCAGTGCTGGGGTCCCACCAGTAGGGGCCTAGGCAGTTGCCCTGGGACCCAGGAGCACTGTAAGAAACTGCCTCCACCCTCCCCCTTGGAAATCTAGAGCCATCACAAACCTGGAATCCACCAGCAGGTGAAGTCTAGTGCTGTGGATTGAGGCAGAGGCTCAGGAGAGGCTTACCTGGTCACAGTCTGCATAGCTGAGGTGAGGGAAGGCTTAGCAGAACCTCTCCTCTTGAGAGCCAGAGAGTGAGGAGAGGGGAGCCTGGTGGGAGGAGGGTGCTCAGGGCTCAGGCTGGCCTCCTGCTTCGCTCCCAGCAGCGGTTCTCTCTCAGGAATCAGACTGTCCTGTAAGACACATTTCGGCAAACCAGTTGCCATGGAGTCGACTCTGACTCCTGGCGCCCCCACTATCTGAGAGTATACCTGTTCTCCACAGGGTTTTCAGTGGCTGATTTTTCCAAAGTAGATTGCCAGACCTTTCTTCTGAGGCACCTCTGGGTAGACTCAAACCTCCAGCCTTTCAGTTAGCAGCCAGGTGCATTAACCGCACCACCCAGGGACTCCCGTTTCATTGAAAGAGTGTGCGTTAGAGAATACAGCAGGAAGGAAGTGACGTGACTGACTCCAAGGGGATAAACTCTGACCTTTGAGGTCAAGGAGACAGGTAGCTGGTGAGCTGTGAAGAGTGTGTGGTCCACGTGTTTGAATACGTCTGAGCGTGTTGTAGCTGACCTATACACAGACTGCGGACAGAGGGGGACTCAGACCACAGGGCAGAGAGAGGGTTGAATTCCACACTGAAGGCCCACCTGACCAGCATCCTTACTTCATTTCTGGATCACAGACCACCTTCCCGAACTCTGCGGGTCCCCCTGGCCTGCATGCACAGTGGAGGCACCGAGGCCTTGAGTTCACGCTGCATAGATAGAGTGGTCGTCCTTCCATCCCAGCACCCCATCTGCTGTGAGACACTGCTTTCTGACGTTCCAGATGATTCCCAGGAGAACGTGGGGGTGCCTGCACCCCTCAGTTGGAGTTAGGAGCTGTCTTAGTTATCTAGTGCTGCTATAACAGAAACACCACAAGTGGGTGGGTCTGACAAACAGAAATGTATTCTCTCACAGTCTAGGAGGCTAGAAGTCCGAATACAGGGCGCCAGCTCTAGGTGAAGGCTTTCTCTCTCTGTCGGCTCTGGGAGAAGGGCCTTGTCTCTTTTCAGCTTCTTTCTCAGCCATCTTCATTTGGTTTCCCCTGTCTCTGCTTTAAAAAAAACCTATTGGGTCAAGTCGATTCGGACTCATAGTGACCTTAGAGGACAGAGCAGAACTGCCCCATAGGGTTTCCAAGGAGCAGCTGGTGGATTCCATCTGCCGACCTTTTGGTTAGCAGCCATAGCTCGCCGTAGCTTTTAACCACTGCACCACCAGTATAGAAGTTAGGATTTACAACGTATGTTTTGGGGCATACAATTCAATCCCTAAGAGGAGCCTTCTGTTCGGGATTTCCTCCAGCGGGCCTGGGCCTGGTGAAAACAGCTTCATATACATCAATAAAACTAAACCGAACCTGTGGCCGTCCAGTTGGTTCCGACTCATAGTGACCCTATGGGACAGAGTAGAACTGCTCCATAGGGTTTCCAAGGAGTGACTGATGGATTCGAACTGCCAGCCTTTTGGTTAGCAGCTGAACGCTTAACCACTGCGCCACCAGGGCTTCTAATTCATTAATAGGGATCATCTGTTATATAGCCCCAGGGTGGGAGGACTTTCTCCATGTCACCAACGACTTGTGCCAGGAAATGCCACGAAACCCTGAATGAAACATACGCAACAAACTCTCTGTCTCTCTCTCTCTCTCCCCCTCCCTGTCTCTCTCCCTATCTCTCTCTCTCTATCTCTACCTGTCTATCTCTCTATATATCTCTTTCAGTTTCTCTGTTTCTCTGTCTTTCTATCTCTCCCTATCTCTCCCTATCTCTCTCTGTCTCTCTATCCCTATCTCTCTGTCTCTCTATTTCTCCCTCTTTCTCTGTCTCTCTGTTTCTGTCTCTCTGTTTCTCTGTTTGTCTCTCTGTCTCTCTCTGTGTGTCTCTGTCTCTCTGTCTCTTTCTCTACTTCTAATTCTTTCTCTCTCAACTAATCCACCTCACCAAAAAATGCTTGCCCTAGGTCACATAAATCTTCCTAGAATGTTCTACAAGCTAGTGATGAGCACTGAAGCCACCTCAGAAAATTCAGAGATGGGTTAGGTCTACAGGAAGAATATACCTTCCCTAATTCTGAGGACGAGGTGAGAAGAGTTAGGCCTGTCCGTTATTTTGACAAGGAAACAGCCACAGGCAAACGGGACTTGCTGTGAGAACAGGACAGGAGGAAAAGCCCAGTAATTCATCGGATTCCACAGGCACCAGTCCCGGGCTCACAGGCAA